ATTCATCCGCCACCATCACCCCATGTTTCAGCAAGATAATGCATGGCCCTAAGGAGCTGTACACAATTCCAAGAAGCTGAAAATGTCCCCCCTTTTTAAGGTATCTGTGACCACAGATGCATATCTGTTTTCCCAGTCATGAAATCCATAGATTAGGGCCTAATTTATTTATTTATTTTAATTGACTGATTTCCATATATGAACTGTAATTCAGTAAACATTTTGAAAGTGTTGCATGTTGCATTTATATTTTTGTTCAGTGTACAAACTGACACGTTACTGGCTCAACTATTCTGGGGAACTACGGTAAACTTCATAATGTAAAATAATGTGACAGGTGAAATGAAGAACGCAATCTGCTTTATCTCCTAAGGTATTGCACAAGTTGACTACAAGTATTAACTTAAAAAGTAACTACAAATATTCAAATGTATTGAAAAACTTCAAATAAATACTTTTGACATTATTGATGTTCCCTGTCTTTTTCTAAATACCCCGGTATAGAGTGCATTCGGAAAGCATTCAGACCCCTTGACTTTTTCCACATTTTCCCCTCATCAATCTACACACAATACCGCATAATGACAAAGCAAAAACAGATATTTAGATTTTTTTATAGAATTTATAGAAAATTTTTTATAGAAAAAATACAAAACTGAAATATTACATTTACATAAGTATTCAGACCCTTTACTCAGTACTTTGTTGAAGCACCTTTGGCAGCGATTACAGCCTTGAGTCTTCTTATGACGCTACAAGCTTGGCACACCTGTATTTGGGGAGTTTCTCCCATTCTTCTCTGCAGGTCCTCTCAAGCTCTGTCAGGTTGGATGGGGAACGTCGCTGCACAGTTATTTTCAGGTCTCTCCAGAGATGTTCGATCGGGTTCAAGTCCGGGCTCTGGCTGGGCCACTCAAGGACATTCAGAGACTTGTCCCGAAGCCACTCCTGCGTTGTCTTGGCTGTGTGCTTAGGGTCCTTGTCCTGATGGAAGATGAACATTTGCCCCAGTGTGAGGTCCTGAGCGCTCTGGAGTAGGTTTTCATCAAGGAACTCTCTGTACTTTGCTCTGTTCATCTTTCCCTCGATCCAGACTAGGGATGGTGCCAGGTTTCTTCCAGGCGTTGCTTAGCATTCAGGCCAAAGAGTTAAATCTCGGCTTCATTAGACCAGCGAATCTTGTTTCTCATGGTCTGAGAGTCTTAAGGTGCCTTTTGGCAAACTCAAAGCGGGCTGTCATGTGCCTTTTACTGAGGAGTGGCTTCCGTCTGCAGAGATGGTTGTCCTTCTGGAAGGTTCTCCCATCTCCACAGAGGAACTTTGGAGCTCTATCAGAGTGACCATCGGGTTCTTGGTCACCTCCCTGACCAAGGCCCTTCTCCCCCGATAGCTCAGTTTGGCCGGGCGGCCAGCTCTAGGAAGAGTCCTAGTGGTTCCAAACTTCTTCCATTTAAGAATGATGGAGGCCACTATGTGCTTGGGGACCTTCAGTGCTGCAGATCTGTGCCTCGACACAATCCTGTCTCGGAGCTCTACGGACAATTCCTTCGACCTCATTGCTTGGTTTTTTCTCTGACATGCACTGTCAACTGTGGGACCTTATATAGACAGGTTGTGTGCCTTTCCAAATCATGTCCAATCAATTGAATTAACCACAGGTAGACTCCAATGAAGTTGTAGAAACATCTGACGGATGATCAATGGAAACAGGATGCACCTGAGCTCAATTTCGAGTCTCATAGCAAAGGGTCTGAATACTTATGTAAATAAGGTTTTTCAGTTTTTTATTTGTAATAAATGTGCTAAAATTTCTAAAAACCTGTTTTTCTTTGTCATTATGGTATATTGTGTGCAGATTGATGAGGAAAATTTTTTATTTCATCAATTTTAAAATAAGGCTATAACTTAACAAAATGTTGGAAAAGGGAAGGGGTCTGAATACTTTCCAAATGCACTGTACGGTATATATACGGTATACCGCCCAAGCCTAATGGTGAGAGCTCCACCTTGCCCTCTGATAGGCTTGGTGCTAATTACATGGACAATGGGGACCTGATCAGTAATCCTAGATCAGCAATGCTACTCTGAGACACTTTGTGAATACATGCCTGGATCTTCCCTAAATTGTAGGTGTGTGTGGGTGACTACGTGGCAGGAAGGGGGCAGGGAGAGAAGTGAACTGCAGGTGTGTGTGGTGACCTGGCCAGTAATTTGTGGCTCGTCTCTGTAATCTGAATCTCTCACCCTGCTCTCTACCTCTTCATTGTCACTCTGTTGAATGATGTAATTCTCTGACCCCTCCACTCTCCTCCTTTCCTGAGCTCATGCCCTCGACAGACAGAATAGCAACACCAGCACAGCACCCACCTATTTAGAAATGATATAGTCTACGATGCTCGGATTACCAATGGTTAACTAGGGAGCTAGGATATATCAGTTAGCTAACCAATTACAGTAACAGCTGATCATTACAATGTCAATAAACACTATAATTTGTGACTATCTCATAATCTTAAATCTATAATAGAAATGGAGATATATCACTTGATCTTGGTATTAATATTTGAATGAATAGCTATTAATAGATTACTTAATAGACAGTAGATGAATAGAATGAAGTTAGAAGGGTTTACTTCTATTTTGAAGGGACAGGAAGTGTTAGGTGTGCATTTGGCCAATGACAGGCATTCCATATTTAACCCCACCCACTTGTGAAAGTTGAACTGTCAAATTGTGTTTTGGATTATATGCAAAAACGAGATAACAAAAAACAAGCCATTTCTGTTTTTAAATGTTTTTATCATAAACATGGGTAATTTTCACGTTATCGATTTTTCCGTTTAACTCGGAAAACAATTGGACAAAATGTACACGGCCCATTCTTTCACAATCAGTATTAAAAGAGATATGTATATAATGACGAGATGCTCCATGTCTCCACCCTAACATTGGGAGTCGTTGTCCCAAAGGCGGGAAGACAAATGTAGGTCCAAAATGAGCCCATAGAAACGCATTTGTCTTATTTTGAACAGATTTCGGCGAGAGTGAAACCTCTCTTCTTCTTCTTCTTCTTCTTCGAGGTTTAATGGCGGTTGGCATCCAATAAATGTTGCATTACCGCCACCTACGAGACTGAAGTACAACTCCCTTACAAATACCCTACCATCTAACGCTACACTCTATAAAAATAAAAATAAATAAAAAATAACACCACCCTACTCCACTATTTAAATCTATGTAATCCTACCTCAGGCTAACAACCTTAAAGGATGGGACATCACCACTTAACACTCCCTGTAACTCTTCTGATGTCAAGTCTCGCACACCAAAATACCTCTCTGCAGCTGCTACCACAACCTCAATTTTCTGCGACTTACGTTCCATCCCTGCAGTACAGTTGATAACCATTGCTATAAATGCTAAAAATCCAATCTTACTGAAACATATATCACTTGTTGGCCTATCCCTCTGTACTGGTACAGCTCTACTACTCACACCACTCCTCTCAGGATCCCTCCCCCTTGACCCATCTTCCTCTACTTTCTTCACTGCCTCAGCATATGACAACTTCTGCACTACTCTAACCCTGGACCGCAACCTGCCTCTCTTGCACGGGACATTTCTGATCCCCAGCCCCATGGGCACCCCTACAATTAACACATACCACTACTTTCCCCAATGCTACACATTCCTTTGTCTCCTTGCCCTTCGGCACACTTCTCACACCTAGGAACCTCCCTCCTATACACTGCTGCCACATGCCCACAAGCTTGACACCTGTAACAACGTAATGTATTTGGCACAAAAGCCTGTACAGGATACCTTATATATCCTAACATCACTGTCGGGCAAAGACTGAACATCAAAACTCAAAAGAACAGACAATGACTCTTCTGTTTCACCACTCTCGCCACCCTGTCTGCGTCGCACCAAACGACGAGCCTCACAAACACCGGGAATCTTCCCCTTCAGTTGGTCAAATTTTACATTTACTGCTACCCCAGTGATCACTCCTTTTAATGGCGTCCTTTTCTTGAGAGCAAAACAATTCACATCTCTTGCCCCCATTCGTTTAACGCGGAGCGCCTGCTCCCTCTGATGAGCAGAAATACAAAACAATTATCACAAGACCCCTTCTGGTTAACCTCACCGATTCCACAGCACCCAACTGTTTTCACCCACCCTGAAACCACAAATGGATCAGCCAAAAGACAAGGTTCCACTTTTTCCAAAAACTTCACTCCTACTGTCACAGACTCATCTTTATCCTGACCCTTGGTGCAATCCTCAGGCTCCAAGAACTTCACCACACCTACCATCTCTCCGATACTTCGCCCTCATTCACTTCCATTTATCCTCCTGTCTTCAGCTCACTCTGCCTATATTTTCTACCATTCTTCTTTAACAAACCATCTCCCTTTTTCCCGACATTTTTAACCAACTCAATCTCACCCTCTTCCTCCCGCTCTCTCTTAGACCTCCTCTGCCTCTCTTTTCCCCCCCATTCCTCCTCCGTATTCAAAATATACGTCTCTTTATGATAATACTGCAATTCTCCAGACATACATCTTGTTATTGCCTTCTCAAGGGACGCCATTTAACCGGCTGTTATAATCGCCATACAATCAGCACAAACCCTTCGGGATGTTACTTCCAACCTCTCGCTTCGCCTTTCCCTCTCTGTTATGAACAATAGAAAGGGGCGCCGTTTACACACTGCCCATCCAATCAGGAGAGACGCTACTTGAGTACCGGGCTGGACTGGGCCTCGGTCTTGCCTTGTGTCATGCAACCGACTATTGAATATGTGATGGCGGCAGAATACCTGAACCTGAGAATTCATTTACATTTACATTTACGTCATTTAGCAGACGCTCTTATCCAGAGCGACTATAGGGGATAATTTATACTCTGGAGTGAGCCTAACTTTAGATAACTGTCTTCTGCCATCGGAGCGACAACAGCAGAGTCCATCCGCTGAGCATGGGCTCTCCACGGACATGGAAGAGCAGCTGCGAATGCGGGGCTGTGAGTTGATCCAGGCCGCGGGTATTCTGCTGAAACTCCCGCAGGTTGGTAGCTAACAAGATAGTTAGCTAACTTGCTAACTATTGTCCGAAGTTTGAAATGGCATTTTAAGCCAGAGAAATGAAATTGTACAAGTCAAACACTAGACTTTGCCTAGAATATACAGCTTTAAAGTTTAAAGCTTACGTTGTTTACCAATGAAGTAGGCAATGGATTTAAATCGGAACTAGCTAACCAATGAGGGTTTCTGCATTGCAGATGCAATTTATTGGCCATTGATAGACTTTGTGGCCACCTGTCGGCCATATTGGCACTCCCTAGTAGGAGCAGTCCTGCATAGAAATACATTGAATTCTACACTATTTCAGTTAAATGTTTCAAGGACCAAATTACATGTATTTAAGTATTTTTTGTTGTTGTAGAGGGGACAGTAACATTAGTACTCTTAAAAAATACTTTAAGGAAAATGTTTGTATATATTTTAATTTTTAATTTTTATGTTTAGCTCCTATAATATAATTTAAAAATAAGGTGTCTGTAATAGAGTAAACCTGTCAAAAACGAATGTAGACATTAATAAATGCATTTCTATAGTTTCCTCAAAAATTATTTTACAATTGAGGAGGAGTACCAAGATGGCTGCGGAGTGGCTTCAATACAGCCCCCCCTGTCAGTCATCCAGGGTTTATACACATCATTGTAGCTAACTCATTGATTAACTTTCCCTTTCCCTCCATGTAGCCATGGCCATGGGGCAGATCCTTTTCCAGAGGTTCTACTACTGCAAGTCGTTTGTCAGACACTGTGCAGAGGTAGGATCCTCACGATCCTTCTGTTTCAACTACCAGTTCCACTGCAAACACCAACTAACTATCAGACTTAGGTCAAACATTCAACCCTTTACTATTTGTTCACCATGCTGCTGTGAGGTTTGTCTTCTTTCCCCTCCTCAGTACCCATCTACCTCCCTGTCCTCCTCTTTCCAGATGGTTGCAATGGCATGTGTGCACCTGGCTTCGAAGATCGAGGAGGAACCGCGGAGGGTACGAGACGTTCTCAACGTGTTCTACCACCTCAAGCACAGCAAAGGCAAAAGGTAACGGCTGGAGCTCCAAACTCCTCTTCCTGTTCTCCCAACCCTCATACTGTTTCCTGTATATCTAACCATGTGTCTCTCCCAGGACCCAGTTCCCCATGCCTCTGGATGCCAGCTACATCAGTGCCAAGGCTCAGGTGATCAAAGCAGAGAGGAGAGTGCTGAAGGAGCTGGGCTTCTGTGTGCACGTCAAGCACCCCCACATGGCAAGCGCTCCTCACCACACCAGCTTTAATACACTCAGTGGTGCATTTTAACAAAAACAGAACAATTGATAACCACTGTGGCTTAGGCTCTGTTGTTCTACTGGTTTTATTGTGATTGCCACAACTGTAGGCTTGGATTTGTATGACCATGACATGCCTAACAAATGCTCTTATCTAAGGCAATTTACATTGCATCTGATCTTGGGTACTCATCCCTAACAGTTTTTGTGCTCCTCTGTCACAGATCATTGTGATGTACCTCCAGGTGCTAGAGTGTGAGAAGAATACTAAACCTGCTCCAGAGCACTCAGGAGGACCTCAGACTGGGGTGAAGGTTCACCTTCCAACAGGACAACGACCCTAAGCACGCAGCCAAGACAATGCAGGGTCTCTGAATGTCCTTGAGTGGCCCAGCCAGAGCGCGATCGAACATCTGTAAAGAGACCTGAAAATAGCTATGCATCGACGCTCCCCATCCAATCTGACAGAGCTTGAGAGGATCTGCAAAGAAGAATGGGAGAAACTCCCCAAATTCAGGTGTGCCAAGCTTGTAACGTCATACCCAAGAAGACTCAAGGCTGTAACCGTTGCCAAAGTTGCTTCAACAAAGTACTGAGTACTGAGCTGTTGGCAGGACGTCCAACCAGAGACCACGTGTATTGGCGTCGTGTGGTCGAGCGGTTGGCTGATGTCAACTTTGTGAGCACCCCGTGGTGGCGGTGGGGTTATGTTATGGGCAGGCATAAGCTACGGACAACGAACACAATTGCATTTTATCGATGGCAATTTGAATGCACAGAAATACAGTGACGAGATCCTGAGGCCCATTTTTTGTAAGGTATCTTTGACCAACAGATGCACATCAGTATTCCCGGTAATGTGAAATCCATAGATTAGGGCCTAATGAATTAATTTCAATTGACTGATTTCCTCATATGAACTGTAACTCAGTAAAATCTTTGAAATTGTTGCATGTTGTGTTTATATTTTTGTTCCGTATATAATCTTTGATTCAACCGAAATGTGTCTTCCGCATTTAATCCAACCCCTCTGAATCAGAGAGGTGCGGGGGGGGCTGCCTTAATTGATGTCATCCGCACCCAGGGAGCAGTTGTTGTGGGGGTTAACTGCCTTGCTCAAGGGCAGAACATCAGATTTTTCCACCTTGCCGGCTCCCAACGCTCTAACCGCTAGGCTACCTGCCGCTAGGCTACCTGCCACCCCTAACGTTGCTGTTAAATCACCAACATTATTTGAAATAACGATTGAGGTATCCATCTAATCTAGCTAAACACTTCACTAATTTAAATTCCCATAAATAAAGTTTAACATACCCGTTTTTTGCTGTCCAGTGGCACCACAAGTGGGCATTTGATTTGTGAACTCCATCACATGTCCGCTACAGAAACAATGTTAACCAAACAACAGTGCTAGGTGCAAGCACATTTGAATTAAACGGTAACTACACAAAAAAAGTAATTTCTTAGATGTGGTTTAAGTATTTCCCTGATGTGGTTTAAGTATTGTCATGATCATGGAACATCCAATTTTGCTGTTTAACTATTAAACAAAAAACAAACTAAAATAGGCCAAATTAAACTAATTTTAATTGCATGATTGTACTTTAGAGCGTGTCATCCTCTAGAGTTCAGGTCCAATATTAGCTATGTACACAAGAGGGAAAGAGGTTGGCCATCAATCGGTGACGTCACGCGCTCTGAGACAGAAGTAGTGGTTTCCCTTACGTTGTAAGGGCTGCGGCTTTTGTGGAGAGATAGGTAATGATGCTTCATGGGTGACTGTTGTCGGTGTGTTCAGTGGGTTCCTGGTTCAAGCCGAGGTTCAGGCAAGGAGAAGGAGCAATACATTTACACATGCATTTTTACGTATGGGTGGTCCTGGGAAACGAACCCACTATCCACAAGGTTATAGATGCTTTGTGAAGTCTCAATTTAATATGATTTATTTAAGCGGTGGCCTTTATTGAGCGGTGCTTATGTCCACCCTTTATAAAGCACAAGTGTCATATTTGACATAGTGGGTTATGTCACATTTGACATTGGTGGTAATGTCACACAGTTATGCCACATTTATGAACCCTTTATAGAGCATGACGCGCGGTTATAGATTATTTTTGACACATTTATGTAGTGCTTATGAAGCCTTTAAGCGGCACTTCATTGAAAGTGGGACCACTCATCCATAGGGAAGCACACTGTAATATGTGATATCCTAATCTCTTATTCCATGCTTTTTTGTTTCTCTGTTCTTATTTTAGCATCCTGGCATCTCTTTTTTTTTTCTATTGTTCTGTCTTCTCAACTTCTGTTTGTCTCATGTGCTCATAATTCTTAACTCTCCTACAAAGTCTGTTCTGCTCATCTCTCTTTGTCCTAGCATCGCCTGCTGTACCACAGCCCAACAGGGAGTCTCCCCTGAATCAAGTCGCGCTAAAAAATGCCTGCCGGAAACTCGTTAACGGAGACGAGTATGTATTCTTCCTCTACTGGAGTATGGGGATATCTATACTGAGTGTATTTGTTGATTGTATGGAGCTGCTTTCCCTCATGACATGTACTCTTTTCCTTTTCTCCTTTTTTCCTCTCTCAGGAAGAAAATAGGGAGTCGTAGTGATGAGAGGATAGTGACTCAGTCCATGTCTCCTGCCAGAAGAAGGTGGGAAGAAGCACTGTGTCTTACTCTGTTCCATACGGACTCAATTTTGAGTCTCAGGGCTGAGACTAACTTCTCTCTCTTGGTTTCAGACGCAGTCGCAGTGTCTGTTCTCCTTCATACTCCATCTCTCCCACCCACCGCCAGAAAATCAGTCGCAGGAATAGAGAGAAAGAGAGAGAGAGCGTCGGAGGGAACATGAGAGCGAGCGGGGAAGAGGAAGGAGAGATGAATACTCACGTAGAAGATAGCTGTTATCAAGGAAGAGCTATGAGAGTTACCATAAATGACCTAGAGTGAGGGAAAAAAGTATTTGATCCCCTGCTGATTTTGTACGTTTGCCCACTGACAAAGAAATGATCAGTCTATAATTTTAATGGTAGGTTTATTTGAACAGTGAGAGACAGAATAACAACAAAATAATCCAGAAAAACGCATGTCAAAAATGTTATAAATTGATTTGCATTTTAATGAGGGAAATAAGTATGACCCCATCTCAATCAGAAAGATTTCTGTCTCCCAGGTGTCTTTTATACAGGTAACGAGCTGAGATTAGGAGCACACTTAAAAGGGAGTGCTCCTAATCTCAGCTTGTTACCTGTATAAAAGACACCTGTCCACAGAAGCAATCAATCAATCAGATTCCAAACTCTCCACCATGGCCAAGACCAAAGAGCTCTCCAAGGATGTCAGGGACAAGATTGTAGACCTACACAAGGCTGGAATGGGCTTCAAGACCATTGCCAAGCAGCTTGGTGAGAAGGTGACAACAGTTGGTGAGATTATTCGCAAATGGAAGAAACACAAAAGAACTGTCAATCTCCCTCGGCCTGGGGCTCCATGCAAGATCTCACCTCGTGGAGTTGCAATGATCATGAGAACGGTGAGGAATCAGCCCAGAACTACACGGGAGGATCTTGTTAATGATCTCAAGGCAGCTGGGACCAGAGTCACCAAGAAAACAATTGGTAACACACTACGCCGTGAAGGACTGAAATCCTGTAGCGCCCGCAAGGTCCCCCTGCTCAAGAAAGCACATATACAGGCCCGTCTGAAGTTTGCCAATGAAAATCTGAATGATTCAGAGGAGAACTGGGTGAAAGTGTTGTGGTCAGATGAGACCAAAATGGAGCTCTTTGGCATCAACTCAACTCGCCGTGTTTGGAGGATGAGGAATGCTGCCTATGACCCCAAGAACACCATCCCCACTGTCAAACATGGAGGTGGAAACAGTATGCTTTGGGGGTGTTTTTCTGCTAAGGGGACAGTACAACTTCACCGCATCAAAGGGACGAAGGACGGGGCCATGTACCGTCAAATCTTGGGTGAGAACCTCCTTTCCTCAGCCAGGGCATTGAAAATAGGTTGTGGATGGGTATTCCAGCATGACAATGACCCAAAACACACGGCCAAGGCAACAAAGGAGTGGCTCAAGAAGAAGCACATTAAGGTCCTGGAGTGGCCTAGCCAGTCTCCAGACCTTAATCCCATAGAAAATCTGTGGAGGGAGCTGAAGGTTCGAGTTGCCAAACGTCAGCCTCGAAACCTTAATAACTTGGAGAAGATCTGCAAAGAGGAGTGGGACAAAATCCCTCCTGTGCAAACCTGGTGGCCAACTACAAGAAACGTCTGACCTCTGTGATTGCCAACAAGGGTTTTGCCACCAAGTACTAAGTCATGTTTTGCAGAGGGGTCAAATACTTATTTCCCTCATTAAAATGCAAATCAATTTATAACATTGATTGTTATTCTGTCTCTCACTGTTCAAAGAAACCTACCATTAAAATTATAGACTGATAATTTCTTTGTCAGTGGGCAAACGTACAAAATCAGCAGGGGATCAAATACTTTTTTCCTTCACTGTATGGAACGGCACATCATGAACAAAATACAAGCCAGATTCTTAGACTTTCCAATGTTTTCACTATTGTACATTGTTTGTATTACATTATAATTTGGGAAACTATGCTCTAAGATCATAGTCCAAAGCTTTTGTCTGAACAATATTTTTGAAATAAAAATGCTTTTAGGTGATCTCTTGCCTTGATTTTATGAATGGCATCAAGTGATTACTTCCTATTCAGCACCACAACCAAACACACCTCTCCCTTCTTCCCTGGGGAAACTAGTGTGGCATCCTAATTAACCTAGCTGCTAAGGAAACATGATTCAATTAGACTAGCTGATTAATCTCCTGTTCCATTTATATGCACTCTCAGCTCCCGGTAGCTAAACTCTGAAACGCCCACATTCCCATGGGTATACCGTACCCCTGGTCTAGCAGTGATTGGTTGGGTAACTAGGGAAATGCCATTTGCTGTGATTTTTAGGTGGATGGGTATGGCAGGAACTACTTTGTATTTGTCTTGTGTCCATGGTGATTTTACATTGGTATTTCTGTGGGAGGTTGTGCTTGTGTTCAATGCTACAGAAAGAGTGAGTGTTAATGAAAGTGTACCTATAATAGATGGGCAGCAATCAATATCTATTTTGCTGTGCATTTGTATTTATGATCTACAACTAATTCAGTAGCTGAGATGGAGACCCCAATGCCGGAGCTGAGAGATTCGGAGCCAGTGGGGATGGGGCTCCATGTCAACACGTCTCCCATCCAGAATGCCCTCTACATCATCTTGGTCCTGCTGGGTATCGTGGGTAACGCCACGGTGGTTGGCGTGATTAGTGAGAGTGTATTCAAAGACCCCAGTGGAGGACGTAACTCAGACATCATCCTGCTAAACATGGCCCTCTCCAATCTGCTCCTGTCTTTCTTCAGGAACATCCTGCTGGTCGTGTCTGACCTGGGGCTAGAGGTAAGGAGCTGACTGGGACAGGGGTCGGGCACTGTGGTATGGGGTGCCATGAAGAATGAGGGCTGTATGTGGGTGCTTGAGAGTATGGGGATTGTGTTTGGTTTGGGCTCTAAGTAAAAGGGTTTTGATTTGGTATTTGAGATATTGGAGGGATGTGGGCTGGTCTTGAAGGAATGGTACTTTAAAATGCAAGGACTAGGGTGTGGTCTGTAACTAGAGATATGCTATGTGAATGAAAGCAATCTGACAATATACCGTGGAATACTTACTGATAAGACCATTGTTCAGGTTGTCACTATTGTGTACACACACATACAAATTGACACCCAGCTCTCTCTCTAGCTGATGTCTTCCAGAGACTGGTGTCACTTCCTGATGGGGGTGTGGGTGTGGCTTCGCATAGTCAACGTGTGGTCAACACTCTTCCTCAGTGTGTTCCATTTCCAGACACTGAGGCGCGTGGCCCCTCCCTCACGGACTGTTCACGGGCTCCGCAGGCCCCCCAAGACCCTCCTGATTAGCCTGGGCCTCATCTGGTCTCTCAACCTGATCTATGCTATACCTGCACATATCTACTCTACCAACGGGAACAAGAACAGCACAAAGGTAGGACCCTGATATAATAGAAGCACAGAGGTAGACAATAGGTGATGTGTTTTATTTTAATTGTGGGAAACTGTATAAAAAACCTTCTCTGCCTTCTCTCCCCCTCTCCTCTCATTTCCTCTCCTATCCTCGGTCTCCTCTACCCTCTTCCCGCTCCCCTCCAGACCCTGATGTTGGTCAGCAGCACCACGCGCCCCCTGCTGGGCTGTGTGTGGAACTTCCCCTCCAGCTACGACAGCCTGGCCTACGCCACCGCCTCCATGGTGATCCACGAGATCCTGCCTATCATCCTGATGGCCATCACCAACCTGGGCTCCCTCTACACGCTCTACACCCACGGCAGGACCCACAACCCCGCACACATGACCCAGGACGCGCCCGTCATCAAGAGGATACCGGCTGAGATACGGGCTGCCAAGGTGAGAGAGACTGGAGGGGATTCAGGATGATGCCTTGTTATGTGGCCTGCAGCCTGCTTATTGTGGATGGAAAGAAGTACGACACATGCAATGTGGACCTGTAACATTGCTATTGTCCTAAAAAATATATTTAAAAAATGTTTACCGAGGTGTTTATGATCCTGGTGTGTTTTCAATAAACAGTTATTATAGACAATGCGTGTGTATATTTTATGACCGTCATGCTAAGAGAGGAAGAAAACAGGTAAATAGTTTCACAGTATTTTCTTTCCTTGCCTTCCCTCTCTCTCCAGGTGATTGTAGCCCTCACCATCCTCTTCATTGTGTCTTGGGGAAGCAGCATCATCTCTATCAACATCTTAAACTACAACCTAGGTTCATCAGCCAGGTTTCTCCCGGTAATAGCTCGCTTTGCCAACACCATCTTCATCGCCATTTCACCCATTGTGCTGGCAGTGGGTCACCGGCGGCTGCGTGCTGTCATTAAGTATTTTTTTACTCACTGACAGATCCCACACCCTGACACACACTGCAACTAACATTATGGGGAAGTCAGTGGAAAATATTATACTTGCCTTCACATAGCCTAAAAATTAAGTAGAATTACATGTTTGTTGGCATTCCTCTAACCATTGGCAAAAATAAGAGGCAGTCCGCGCTCTTTTAAGGTACTTACTACTGAATAGTATATGTTCCAGGTGCGTAGGAGCCCAAATAAATGCATTAAGAAGGAAAGAAATTCCACAAATAAACTTTTAAGAAGGCACACCTGTTAATTGAAATGCATTCCAGGTGACTACCTCATGAAGCTGGTTGAGAGAATGCCAAGAGTGTGCAAAGCTGTCATCAAGGCAAAGGGTGGAGATTTGAAGAATCTCAAATATAAAATATTTGTTTAACACGTTTTTGGTTACTACATGATTCCATATGTGTTATTTCATAGTTTTGATGTCTTCACTATATTCTACAATGTAAAAAATAGTAAAAATAAAGAAAAACCCTGAATGAGTAGGTGTGTCCAAACTTTTGACCGGTAGTGTGTGTATTTATGTGGCTGTAAATACTACATCATCATCATCATCATCACTTGAGTAAAAGGAAAGATACCTTAATAGAAAATGACTCAAGTAAAAGTGAAAGTCACCCAGTAAAATACTACTTGAGTAAAAGTCTAAAAGTATTTGGTTTTAAATATACTTAAGTATCAAAAGTAAATGTAATTGCTAAAATCTACTTAAGTATCAAAAGTAAAAGTAAAAGTATAAATCATTTCAAATGACTTATATTAAGCAAACCAGACGGCTCAATTTTCTTGTTTTTTATTTATTTACGGATAGCCAGGGGCACACTCCAACACTCAGACATAATTTACAAACGAAGCATTTGTGTTTTGAGAATCCACCAGATCATAGGCAGTAGTGATGACTAGGGATGTTCTCTTGATTAGTGTGTGAATTGGACCACTTTCCTGCCCTGCTATGCATTCAAAATGTAATGAGTACTTTTGGGTGGAGTAAAAAGGACAGTACATAATTTTCTTTAAGAATGTAGAAAAGTAAAAGTTGTAAAAAATAGAAATGATAAAATACAGATACCCAAAAACCCTACTTAAGTAGTATTTTTAATTAAGTACTTTACACCACTGATCATCATCCTCAATCAGCCGATGTTCTTCAATACACCAGGGAAAAGTGGAAAGAGGCATTTTCTACCATTTGAAATTATGGTGTAGTGTACAATCCACTGCTATAATATTTAGGTTGTAAATTACAGTATATTCCACGCATGAACTGAATGTCATTGATTCACTGTAAACTGATGATTTTAGCTGATGATACTGTAGCAGTATATAGAAATATTGATATTGTACAATCTTGCATGGGACAGAAATGGCATTTACTGTGAGGGAAAAAAGTATTTGATCACCTGCTGATTTTGTACGTTTGCCCACTGACAAAGAAATGATCAGTCTATAATTTTAATGGTAGGTTTATTTGAACAGTGAGAGACAGAATAACAACAACAAAAATCCAGAAAAACGCATGTCAAAAATTTTATAAATTGATTTGCATTTTAATGAGGGAAATAAGTATTTGACCCCCTCTCAATCATAAAGATTTTTGCCTCCCAGGTGTCTTTTATACAGGTAACGAGTTGAGATTAGGAGCACACTCTTAAAGGGAGTGCTCCTAATCTCAGTTTGTTACCTGTATAAAAGACACCTGTCCACAGTAGCAATCAATCAATCAGATTCCAAACTCTCCACCATGGCCAAGACCAAAGAGCTCTCCAAGGTTGTCAGGGACAAGATTGTAGACCTACACAAGGCTGGAATGGGCTACAAGACCATCGCTAAGCAGCTTGGTGAGAAGGTGACAACAAAGAAGAAACACAAAATAACTGTCAATCTCCCTCGGCCTGGGGCTTCATGCAAGATCTCACCTCGTGGAGTTGCAATGATCATGAGAACGGTGAGGAATCAGCCCAGAACTACACGGGAGGATCTTGTCAATGATCTCAAGGCAGCTGGGACCATAGTCACCAAGAAAACAACTGGTAACACATTACGCCGCGAAGGACTGAAATCCTGCAGCGCCCGCAAGGTCCCCCTGCTCAAGAAAGCACATATACAGGCCCGTCTGAAGTTTGCCAGTGAACATCTGAATGATTCAGAGGAGAACTGGGTGAAAGTGTTGTGGTCAGATTAGACCAAAATGGAGCTCTTTGGCATCAACTCAACTCGCCGTGTTTGGAGGAGGAGGAATGCTGCCTATGACCCCAAGAACACCATCCCCACTGTCAAACATGGAGGTGGAAACATTATGCTTTGGGGGTGTTTTTCTGCTAAGGGGACAGGACAACTTCACCGCATCAAAGGGACGATGGACGGGACCATGTACCATCAGATCTTGGGTGATAACCTCCTTCCCTCAGCCAGGGCATTGAAAATGGGTCGTGGATGGGTATTCCAGCATGACAATGACCCAAAACACACGGCCAAGGCAACAAAGGAGTGGCTAAAAAATAAGCACATTATGGTCCTGGAGTGGCCTAGCCAGTCTCCAGACCTTAATCCCATCGAAAATCTGTGGAGGGAGCTGAAGGTTCGAGTTTCCAAACGTCAGCCTCGAAACCTTAATGACTTGGAGAAGATATGCAAAGAGGAGTGGGACAAAATCCCTCCTGAGATGTGTGCAAACCTGGTGGCCAACTACAAGAAACGTCTGACCTCTGTGATTGCCAACAAGGGTTTTACCACCAAGTACTGTCACGGTCATTGAGAGACGGGTCAGACCAAGGTGCAGCGTGGTATGCGTACATGTTTATTAAGACGAATAAACACTTGACAAAATAGCAAAACAACAACAAAACAAAACAAAACGTGAAGTCCTATGGCCTATACACACAACAAGCCTAACAGGAACACAAACAAGATCCCACAACTAAGGTAGGCAACCAGGCTACCTAAGTATGATCCCCAATCAGAGACATCGAGCGACAGCTGCCTCTGATTGGGAATCACACCCGGCCAAACCTAGACATACACATACTAGATCTCCAACATAGAATATAAACACATAGAACTCAAACTGAAACTCACACCCTGACCCAACCAACAAGAGTTCTCTAGGTCAGGGCGTGACAGTACCCCACTCCCCAAAGGTGCATACCCCGGCCGCAACAACCTGACTCATTAGGGGAGGGTCCGGGTGGGCACTCCGGGCGTGACGACCTCTCCCTCTCTGCCTCCCCGTTGCGCCCCTAGTCTGGTCTGGACCTCGGCGCGATGCTTCCCCTCTCCTTCCTCCCGCGATGCACCAAGCCCTGTCTGGACCCTGGTGTGGGAGGCCCCGACCCTGGAGAGGGGCTGACGTCTGGGCCTGGAATGGAGCCGCTGACAGGAGCTGAACTGGACCCCGGTGGAGCGGACTACTCTGGCTCCGGAGTGGAGCCGCTGACCGGAGCTGGACTAGGCACCGGTGGAGCGGACTGCTCTGGCTCCGGAGTGGAGCAGCTGACCGGATCTGGACTGGGCACCGGTGGAGCAGACTGCTCTGGCACCAGCCGTACCGGGCTGGGGACACACACCACTGGTCTGGTGCGAGGAACAGGCATGGGCCGCACCGGGCTGGGAACACGCACCACTGGTCTGGTGCGAGGAGCAGGTACGGGCCGTACCGGACTGGATACACGCACCACTGGTTTGGTGCGGGGAGCAGGTACGGGGCGTACCGGGCTGGCAACACGCACCACTGGTTTGGTGCGGGGAGCAGGTACGGGGCGTACCGGGCTGGCAACACGCACCACTGGTTTGGTGCGGGGAGCAGGTACGGGCCGTACCGGACTGGATACACAAACCACTGATTTGGTGCGGGGAGCAGGTACGGGCCATACCAGGCTGGGGAGGCGCAATGGTGACACAGTGCGTAGAACCTGAGCAGGATATACTGGACCGTGGAGACGTACTGGAGGTCTGGAGTGTACAGCTGGCACAACTCGTCCTGGCTGGATGCCCACTTTCGCACGACCCGTGCGGGGTACTGGCACAGGTTGCACTGGGCTGTGAATGCGCACTGGCGACACAGTGCGTATCGCCGCATACCTTGGTTCCTCAATGAACACACGCTCCTTTTGTTGCCTGACCAGCTCCTTTCTCCGTGCATCCACTACTTCCTTCTCCTTACGGGCCTCATGCAGCGCCTCCTCTTGAAGGGAGCTCTTCTGCTCTAACCTCGCCATCAGCCCCCGTAACGTGGTGGCCTCCTCTCTTAAACTGCTGATCCGCAGGTCTTGGAGGACCTCTAAAATAACAGCCTCCTCCTCTATAGTCAGCCCTTTCATGGCCTCCTGCTGCTTCGTCGACCACCCCGTGTGCCCCACCCCCCAACATTTTTCTTGGGGTTGCCTCTCGGGTCTCCTTCGTCGATTCGCCTTTTGGAGTCGCCGTCTCTCCTCCCTCGCTGCCTCTGTCTGCTCCCAAGGAAGGCGATCCATCCCAGCCTGGATCTCTTCCCATGTCCATGATCCCTTACCATTTAATATCTCCTCCCAAGTTCTGCTCCTTCTGGGCACGCTGCTTGGTCCTTGTTTGGTGGGATCTTCTGTCACGGTCGTTGAGAGACGTATTGGTGTAGCCTGGTACAGTGGGGAAAAAAGTATTTAGTCAGCCACCAATTGTTCAAGTTCTCCCACTTAAAAAGATGAGAGAGGGCTGTAATTTTCATCATAGGTACACGTCAACTATGATCGACAAAATGAGGAAAAAAAATCCAGAAAATCACATTGTAGGATTTTTTATGAATTTATTTGCAAATTATGGTGGAAAATAAGTATTTGGTCAATAACAAAAGTTTCTCAATACTTTGTTATATACCCTTTGTTGGCAATGACACAGGTCAAACGTTTTCTGTAAGTCTTCACAAGGTTTTCACACACTGTTGCTGGTATTTTGGCCCATTCCTCCATGCAGATCTCCTCTAGAGCAGTGATGTTTTGGGGCTGTCGC